TAAGAAAAAAAGCTAGCACTGGTTTGCAAAGAGAAACTAGGACCTCTGTTCTTATAGCCAAGGTATCAGGACAAACATGTAACACAGCATTTGTCATCTAAAGACTGAAAAAAAAAAAAAAAAAGGTAAGACCTTGAGCAAAAAGCAATATTTAGCTGGTGGTACCTGATTTTTATTATGTAGTGTCACTACAAATTTATTTTACTGAATTTTAAGAAATCCCAATTTTCATTGTAATATACCTCACATGTTGTAGGGTAACTTGAAAAAAACATAAGGACCGTGAAGTCGTTTTTTTTGTCAAGCAGAAGACATAATATCAAAGTACATTTATTATCTCCAAGTGTTTACAGACTCTTATCATAAATTCTGGCTTGCTTTCACCTTCTATGCAGCCCTCACACTGTGCTCTTAATCATATATAGAATCTTCACACAGTTCTTGCTGTGTCTGGAATAATCTAAAGACATCACGTAACTATAAATATGTTGTAAATGCATGCTTATAACCCTGAAAAATATTTGATCAAAAACAACTGGAGTCACAGCAAAGTACAGGCAACCATTCTTCTTTGGTAGACATGAACTTGGCATTCATTTTTGCAGTATTGATATATTTATACTGATAGAGAAGCCCAGGCAGACATGTTTGTTTATTGCTTTGGTAACCTATGTGAGGTTGGTATAAGTAAAACACGTTTGGAGGCTATTTGAAAAATGCTGCAGATATCTAAGGCTTTTAAAGTGCTCTGATAAGAAAGCTTTAATGTAATACATCAGTGTTCGATATGTCAGAGCTCAAATATTCTCTCAGAAGAAGTCTTAATGCATATGCATTATTAATGCACAATTTGAGGGAACATATCTTCTTGAGCTGAGTCTGACCAATGTCATTAGTCAAAGAGCAGAAACCAAATTTGGCAATAAGTATGGTAACAGGTAAGAGGACACTTTTCACATACCTTTTTTTTTTCCCTTTAAAATTTAGAAAGCCAGTTGAGTTCTACTAATGATTGCTATAGCTTACCTAATCTAAAAATGTTGTGCTCACTTCTATTAGGTTTGAGAGTGAATGAATCTCAGAGTTATCTCCTTAGGATCACATGATGCACTCTGTGTCCCTTGAGTTACAAGGTGTGAATTTTTGTCTAATGGAAATGGTAATTATTCAAAAACATATCAGACTCTACTTCAGCTGCTGCACAAACTCTGTAGTGACCTAAAATTTAAATGCAGTATAATTTAAAAAAAACACTAATTTTTTAAGGGTTGAACAGCTTTCATGTCTGAAATCTCTTTCATTTGGAAATGAAAAAATTTATTAGCTCCACACAACTAATGCATACCCTAATCACTATAATAATCTTGTGCTTCCCACCTATTTTTCAGGCATTACTAATTTCAGTAAAAACGTCAACATAGAAACTAAAATTATAGTACTTCTGAAGGTGAAACTTTAACTAAGTACTTCTTAAAAAAGGCCTATTCCTCTGCCTGCAAGATATTTTCAGGCACTTCTCAGCTTGTGAAAGAGAGATGTTGAATAAAGCCTAATTAAAAGGCATGTTACAACACTGTTGCATGAAACGTATTGGCTCTGTGCATCTTGAAACCCAGCAGTAATAAACTCAAGTTGACCAGGCCCTAAGCTCTGCAGTAGACAATCTCCACATACCCCTTCCAACCTAAATTCTTCTTTGATTACATTTTAAATAGTATTTCAGTGTAAAACATACTGAGGCCAAGTTTAGTGATGGCCATTTTTAGAGTGGATTACAAAGCACAACTGAGAAACCAAAGAAAGAATTAAATTAGCAAACGACACCACAATGACAAAAGCAATTCAGCACAAACCAGCGTAAGATATCACATGCCACAGTACACAAATGGTTTCCGACATTTAGCAGTTGCCACATAATAAGAAATTAAGCCTTATTGTCAGCTACAATAGAGAAGGACAACTTCAGCTTTCAAAGTAGATTTTTCTTTTAATAAAGAATACCTAGCATAAATTCATTGACACACGTATTAGTGAACTATTTTTAAAATAAGAAAAGCATCTGTAGGATAACTTTCTATGCAAGAAAAAATACCAATCAGTACCCCTACCTTTTAGCATAAGCTGAATAAAAGTATCAAGTATTTTATGTAATTTATGGGTATATGATGAGATATCCCACATTGGCTCTGATTCCTTTGCTTGTTTTTAATACAGGAGAAAAGAGGTTAGACAGGATATGATCCTAGAAATATCAAACAAAACTGTCTCTCACACTCGCAATCAGTTTTTGAGGATTTTTATGACAGACAGCTAATACAGTGATGTCTAGTGATAGGACATGGGGCAATGGGTGCAAACTGGAGCATAGGAGGTTCCACGTAAACATCAGAAAAAAACCTTTTCTGTGAGAGTGACAGAGCACTGGAACAGGCTGCCCAGACAGGTTGTGGAGTCTCCTTCTCTGGAGACATTCAAAACCCGCCTGGACACGTTCCTGTGTGATGTACTCTAGGTGATCCTGCGCTGGCAGAGGAGTTGGCCTTTCAAGGTCCCTTTCAAACCCTAAGTTTCTGCGATTCTGTGTAAACCATGCTCTTTATCACACTGCTGACAAATTTTCACTTAATACAGGATGCCTCTAATTCAGGTGAGTATCATGGTGCAGTAATTTGGCTGTACATTTCTATTAATATTATCTTGGATATGGAATAACTTCACATTTAAACCAATGTTAATTTACATGCTAGATTATATTTAAACATTCCACATCTAGTAAAGTCTTTGCACTAGTAACTTAAAAAATTTTGTATATTCAAATTTGTATGCTTGTATATTAAAAATTTTCTATTATGTATAGCATACACAGCTATAGGCTCACCCATTACCATGAAGAGAGTTCCAAGAACAAAATAGCAACTGCTCAAATGAACAGCTATCGCTGCTAAGCAGCACACCTCTTCTGAGGCAGTAAGGGGTTACACTCCCCCTGTACATGCAAAGCTTCCATTCACATCAGTGTGGTAAGAGGCACACCAATGCAATGTTAACTGTGCTGCTCCAGTGTCCTACTTCATTTAATTGTCATCTAGAAAATCCAGTACTGGTAAATAATTGGCAATTGTGAAGGTTGTACACAAACTTTAAACTTAAAAGGAGGAGAGGAAGGTGACTCAACTTCAACTGTAAAGATTACTATGAATAGCATAACATTCAGTGCAGCCATGCTGCAGAGTCATTGCTGCTGAGGGTGTAGCTAATGAACAGGTTTCATCAATAACTCTCCTGAAATTATTAGGAAAAATAAAAATTGAGGTGTTTTATTGTATTACATATTTTCTAAATAAAGCAATAGTTTCAGAAAAACAGCAAATACATACTGTAGCAAAACGGACTGCCGTACGTACACTAATTTACTCAGTTTCTTATGACCAGTAAACACAAGATTCCCAGTCTCCCTCACAATAAAACAGCTTGCCATATGCCACAGTAACAACAGAGCTTGCCAAGAGGCAGAATATTTTCACAAGTTTGTGAAACTAGCTTTCTAACAGAAACTTACTGGTCTGGAAAGTAACACTTGGGAAATCGGACTGGGATTTCTTCCTTACTTGAAGGATTTTTTTCCATATATCAAGTTTGTCTAATGTATTCCTGCCCTCCAAACCTAAACCAAGTATAGCCAGTGAAGTAGTGTTTTCCTCTATTTCATACTTTATCAGTAACAAGCTTCCCATATGTGGAAACAAATTCCCATCTCAATGACACTAGCCACTCAACAGTAAGCATCTGTTAAGCAATAAAAATATAGCCCCTGTTGCTCACACACTGGTATAAACATCTAGTCTCCTAAAAAATAAAAATTTACAGCCTAGATAACATTTATGCCGGTAAAACTCTTCCAGTGGCAACAAGGTTAATTCTTACTTTAAAAATAATGAGAGATCCTATTTTTTTTCTCTTGTTATGTTCTTACATGAACACTTACATAGACCTGACTTCAGAGAAAATGCCATTGTGAAGGCAACAAAACTGCCTTGAAACTTCTGTCTGGAACTCAATATACAACATCATTTCTGATTAAAAGAATATAATTCACCCCTTTAACTGTGCTGGTTTGTGTTTTGAGATAGCTTGGTGGGGGAAATATGCTATGAAGCCAAACTCACATAATGGAGTTTGAGGAAAGGTATAAAAACTTCAGAAAGCATAAAAGCTCCCCCTTGTTTTCAATCCTAGTAGTTGGAAATATAAGGGAGCAAATGCATTACCCAATGTAAATGTCACTATTTTTTTTTACACCATAAAGCAAGCAGCACCTTGTCATCTGATTCCCTTGCTCACTTTTTAAATTTAATCAAAATACCTGTGTTGTCAATAATCATGCTTGTCTTTCTCACAAGAATGAGAAATGGAAATAAAGCTCGTGCTGCATAACAATGTAGTCTGCACTGCTGCATCTGAACAACCTTTCAAGAACTCTGAAGCAACCTTCTCTTTTATTTGAAAACATTCAAAAGAAATCAGTCATTTGAGACTAAGTTTAATAAGCCAAGCAACTTGATTCAAATGGTAAACAATAAATTACTTAAAAGACATTAGGAAAGGTGCCAGGATTCCCTCTCAAATCTTCAGCATTTATTCTCAAAAATATATTTCAATTAATCAAAATTAAAATGGGAGGGGGACAAAATGTCACTATTATGTTAGATATTTATTGCTATAATAATTCATATTTCCCCAATTGTTTAAGACAGTATTACTAAAACAGTCTTTGTAGCAAAGGTGAGAAGTAATACATAGCTAGAGTGCCCTCTTTCTTTTCCAAGAGGAGTTTCAGAGAAATACTCTGTTAATTAAGATGTCAGTCACTTGCTTAGAAAGTCAAATAGATAACTAGGTGTATTGAAAAAAACCTAAACATGAAAGCAGTTCAGCATAGTTTAAGTAATATTCTTACACTAGTGATCAACAGGATTCTACCTTAATAGAAGTATACTTACAGAGCCATCTGAAATTGTTCAAGCCATTTTTTCTTCAAGTCTTTAGTTTTGCAATAAACTTCTAAACCATTTTGACCTTGGATATGAATGAGGTAGAAGCCATAAGACCACTGCATAAAAAGATTGGTAATATGAAGCTCATGAGTTATAAAGAAAAATAAGAAAGAAAAAAATGAAGATGTATTTATGTGTTCCTTAATACCCTGACTTGGGGAACAGCAAACACATGTTATTGTGTTTACTTAGGAATGACTTGATCATACATCATAATTCCATCAAAATAAACAAAGTTGAAATCCCTAAATACTTCAGTTTACATTTTAAATAGAAAACTTTGTAAATAAGTTGTATATACATTCTGAACCCCTGCAAAATGTTTCAAATTGCTGCTAGAAATATATATTTCATAAGAATTAGTTAAAAATATTTACCTTCCTATTTTCTTTATCAGTAGTGGGGTTATTTGTAATTTTGTATTTCTGAAGATCTATTATTTCCTTCATTTCATAATTATCACCTCTTCGTTTGCAAACAATTACAGCTAAATCAAACAAGAAGATATGCCTAAGAAAAGACAATTAAAGATGGTTAAAAACACTCCAGAAAGCCAACACTGAGTCTTACTTTATTTACATACTTCTGTCCCTGGCACTTAAAATTTTGAAGGTGAACAACTAAACTACTGAATAACAAAACAAAAAACAGAGAAAGTACTTTTGCTAGTGACTTGCTACTTGCAAGGGACCTAGGTGATCTTGGCTGATAACGTAAGAGCTAACTTGCCATGAATCACTTTGCAAATTCACTGCGTAAAGAGTGGATAGGCTCTGTGATTGCACAGTAACATCAAAAGTGCTCTCAGGAATCACTGAGCTGACCTCAAATCTAAAAAGAGTTACTTAACAGGCTTTTTCATAGCAAACACCAGAAATCATGCCATCACCTGTCTTGCCTTGCACGTTTGTCTAATGTAGTTATCCTTATTTCCCCATCACCTTGAGGTCTTCCATACTGTAACAGGGAATGATTCTGAAACATAAGTAATATGTATGATTCAATATAGCAAGTGTCAAGATGACAACACATTCAAATGTTAGACCACCCACTCCTTTTACCCTAGAAAAGGACTTTTCTGGCCTGAAAACAACATATTTTTCTCAATATTATTTAAAGGAAATACAATAAAGAATGAGTCCATTCCATTTTTGTCTTCAAATGGGAATTTTTTTCCCATTACTAAAACACCTGCTCACTGTACAAATACAAACCTTTAACTATGAAAATATATTTAACTACAGACCCTCAAAATAGCAGACATTTTTGTACTTAAATATTTATGTCATTCTAGACCAAGCAAAGCATATTTAAAAGTCACCAAGTACTATAATATCCTATGAATTATGGGAAAAAAATATATCAACATATCTGATAAAGTGTTATTTAAAATCTGTATAAATGAGAAATACCACATACCAGATTCTCTATTGATAGCTGAAACTGTCTAATTTCACGGAGTGTTTCATTATCTCTCTTTACTTCATTGACATATTGAGCCAAGTCCTAGAGCATCAACAGAAAAAGGGAGGAAAAAAAAAAATTTCAACAAAAAACTTTTCCATAACAGACCAGTTTCATACATTATTTTTGGCAAATTTATTTCTAATTTTGTCTTTGATTTATCTGCATATTTAGGTTTGGGGTTGTTTTAAATAAAATTACCTCTAATATTAGAGAATTACCAATAGGTCTGCCCAAATAAAAAAGGATAAAAGCCTCTCTATATCTTTAATCGTATTTACAACTTTCTTCAGATCTATTAAAATACAAATTTACTAGCAAGAAAGAGGGAAACACTCAATTCATTATAAAGGGGCTGATTTTTTCTGAATTTTGTTTATGTCTTATTTTCAAGACTACAGATGGAAACATAATTTATGCAGCATGCTTATGGTCCAAAAAAAGCAGTCAACAACATCCAAGATGTGAAAATAAGACAGAATGTAAGTAGAGCATATAGTAGAAAAAGTCAGTAACGCAGCTCGAAGCAGCATGCAAGGTGTCAACATATCGTAAGTCTGGGTTCTTACTAAAAAAAGAAGCGGCCACTGCCCCAGTAGTAGGTTTGTGCTCTTGTTGTTGCACAGCTGAGAGAAGCCATTACCAAGCAGATTTTTAAAGGGACTTCTACTGGGATATACTACCTGGCATCACAGGTTGAGATCATTATTTTCCCCTTTACCCAAAAATACACTGTACACATTTCACTGAAGCCTTTAAAATGCTCTGAACACACTTGTGCAATAGTCAGTATTTACTGGGGCTTCTGTTTATGCCTAGAAAGGAGGAGTAAGCAGGAGTGATGGCTGGTAAGGTCAGGGATGCTGAGAGCAGCAGTTGGGAAAGGCATTCTGCTCTTCACAACTTGCTTTTAAAGTATGCCTTCAATACGATCACAAATTTGGGGTGCAAGAAAAAGACACGTCTTCCTAAAACATTTTTACTCAGAATCTAAAAATAGCTGCAATCATTATGCTAGTTTCCTAAATGAATCAGTACAGAATACATTCACATCAGCCTTAAAAGAGGTGGCATAGAAATCAAATTACCTCTTTTCTTGCTGGTAAAGGAAATCTGACAGCATAATCCTTCCAAATATGTTATTTTTAGGAGGGCAGTACCAGCTTGCTGGCTCTTTTTCCAAAGATATTTTATTTTTAAGCATAAACACCAGGGTTTTTAGAAGTAACACACTGATGCTGCACTGTTACTTCTACTACATAGGCAGGGACTATTGTAAGAGGATACAATAAAGTGGGAGGGAAACAATGCTACAACTTTAAGATGCTCATACCTGTGGGTTTTTTGTGGGGTGGAAGGGTGAGTTTGTTTTTTTGATTGGCTGGTTACATCCTGCCAGCCAGCACATCACTGACACAGCCAGTCTGGCAAGAGATTTCTTAATCGGTCGTTTATTTTCAGTTCAACAGCCACCAAAACCAAGGAAACAAAGCAGCAAACAGGAAAGAAAAAGAGGAGCATAGGGGAATAAAACCTAGGGTGCATGGCATGCCATTATTGGAAGCAAAACCGTGCCATCCCATTTCAGGCATCTCTCTGTGCGAGATTACCATGGTGGCTCTCTCTGCATTCACTGCACAAAACCAGATCACAGGAAAGAGAAGCCAGAAATCTCATTTGTCACCTGGTCTGTATTCCAGGCATTCAAGGCAAACATCCACATGAGAGAGCTGTGTGACCCAAAACTAGCTCATTCTGACTTCACTGTCTTCTGGGGACCATTCAGATTACAACAGGAGATATGACCTACACAGTGTCGGTTCTTTTCCCCTTTCCCCACAGAGGATAGAAAAATTTCACAGTTCCAGCACATGAATGTCACAATTCATGCTGTGATGCCAACTGAAGCAGAACTGTGCTTCATTGCTGAAGCTATGCAAAGGAATACATAATCTATTAGCTCATATATAAGGCAGTACAGCTATTCTATAAAGCATTTGTTTCTACCACTTGCGAGTGTACAGTGACAGATACTCTACCTTCAGAAAGACACTACTGCTTTCAAAGTTAAAGTCCCACAGATAATTTTAAGATAGCACCAAAAAAGTCTTACAAAGAAAGATATCTTTCTTCATCTCATTGGGAAACTACTGAACTTGATTAGAATTGACCAACAGTGGTAGAAATATTCCTAGATTTTCAAAGTGAGACCAGCATTATTGAAACACCTGTTTTTAATCTCATTACATGACAGCAAAATAATGTAGAAGTAAACTGAAATAAGAACTTCCATCTCATAAATTCTCCACTTCAGAAAACTACTGAACTCGCTTCCCAGAATTGAGCAAACCCTCAACTCTATACTTGCCCTGACATACTCACAAAGCCCACAATGACTTGTGAAAACATGTTTGATCTGCTGTGAGGAACATTATCTCCTCTATGAAGTACAGTTCTGAGCTATCACTTTAACTGCCAGCACAGACGTTAATACTTCACTACCATGGGTACTCACCTTCATCGCATCAAGTGCCAGTTTTAGATTTGCCTTCTCCATGGGATCAGTAGTGTGCTTTACCAGCTCCTGTAGACAGAGCAGTTAAAACCTTTCACCCACTGGCTTCTCAGTTTATGAATTGAACTGGTCACTCATCCCCACCCCAAAAAAAAACCAAAACAGACCCCAATAATTCACTTTTTCATCCCCATGGTGAGCAGCCTATAACTGAGTGGGGACTACTGCAGAAAGTTGATTGGCAAGTGTTTAAGATTGATCGCTGTGTAGCCTAAACAGACTTCGGCTGGTAATGAATCAGAAGCTCATTTGGTCTGTCAAGCACTTCAAACTTGCCAGTCAGATCACTGCTGTATGTGCATGCTGAAAGCACAGGTAAACACTTGAGTTCATTTGCACATGACTAAACAGTTCATCATCCCACTCCAAAGCGGGCACTTGTCTGCAGAGTGGGATGTATGCTGGCAATAAAATCTCAGTTAAACTGTACAGCTACTTAAAAGAAGGCACAGTCTCATTACACCCAAGATTAAGCTGACTCAGAAGACAAATTTCTATCAAATTAAATGTAAACATTTAAATAACTTTTTTAGCTACTCTCAAATGGAAAAATAAAGGGGCTCTTTTTGTTTTTTAAGAAATGAAAAAGTAAACTCATGGGTTTAAAAGAGTAAACTGTTTTTTGTAATTTAAGAAGATTATACATTTCAGTTAACATAACTTGGTAAAATCTGGGAAACTTAAGGAATAAGTACTTATAGTTCACATTACAATTCTAATAACTTACCAGAATTTTTCTTTTGAAGTCCACAAGGATTTCTTTCTTGTATGATGTACACTAGTGTCACACATTAGAGCATAGGGACATATTGTGCATCATCTTTCCATACATACAAGCCAATTATAAAATCATGGCCCAGATCTCAATTTGTTTTTAAAAAGCAGTTGTGCCATTCATTTTGTTTTTTCCAATTTTTCATTTATTAAAATATTGATGACTCATTTAGGGAAAAATTTTGAAAAATTTCGCATTACAGAATGTATCTTGCTCTGCAGTGTCAAAATTATGCTTCGCATACAAGTAGTAGATGGTTTTAAAATGACATTTTAGAAGCATCAGCAAGGCTGACAGTCTAATATAGTAATACATTTCTTTGCAGCTAAAATAATGAGGCTCCTAGCACAGCTATCAAATTAAATTTATAAGACTCTCCACTCTTATTACAGGACTAACTGCAAAAGATAACGCTTTGTGGGTTCTAAGAAGCATTTCAAAATAAATATAGTTTTACTGTAATTTAAGACAGCAAAGAAGCATCTTAAAAGTATGCTGCAAGTATGGTTGAGCTTCCTCTTTTGGGGGGTAATGGTTCACATTTCAAAGTACTAACCATTTCAAACATATCAAGAATTAAAGGTTCAGATACTGAGGAAAGAGTAGTGTTTTATTCTTTTTCTCCAGATATGCTTCAGCTGTGAGGAATGATCTCTGTAAGAAAACCTTGACTGGATTTTTTTTCATATCAAATCAATCTCAAATGTATGGAAGTGTCAGTCACCTCCCTTGGATAAAGACCTTTAGCTCTCATTCTTAGAACCCACTGATGATAAGCATTCACAATTTTGCTCTCAGCCCTCTTGAATTTCAAAAACAAAATACCTGGAGCAGCAGGTGGTATTTTAGCACTCTCTGCATTGGAACCACTAAAAGATCCCGTAATGTAAATTTCCCATTATTGGCCCTTTTGGAACATTCCTAGTTCAAAGCAGAAGAAAGAGAAAGACAAGAGAATTAGAAAACAAAACATTCAAGTGATATATACAGAAAATGAGTGATATATTGGTGAAGCAATTATATTAACCTTGAGATAAAGAATATCAACAAAATGAAGGAAAAGAGTTTATATGGAAATAATAACTAAGTAAAAAAGCTGGGTCTAGACACACACCAGATTGGAGGTGAAAAAGGTGACCCTCTCCAGGGCATGTCCAATAGGAACCTCACATGAAGGCAAGGACAAAGGCATTCACTGCATATGCACCAAGCAGGGACACTCTAACCCTTAGGGCTGACCAGCTAGGGAGCAGCACTGCTGGAAAGGAAACAGGGGTCATGGTAGACACCAAGTCCTGTGAGGCTGTGGGACCACAGCTTTCTCAGCCTAGAGATCCCTCCCTGCCTGAGTGATTCTGCAGTTGTGTGTTCTCAGCTGAAAGGTCACAATAAACAGAAAAGTATCGCTGATGATCTCTTCCCAAAAAAAGCCCTAAAACTCCATTCACTTCAGTGATAGGACAAAACATGTGGGTATTTTTAATACATATATTTGTATATACATGTAAATAAAATATTGATACCTCCAACTTCAATTTAACATCTTCTTTTGTCTTAGAGATGTTGTCTAAGCATGATATTGCTATCTCCACTTGGCTGCAGTACTGTCCATAAATAACCAATCTAAAAACAAGAGATAAAGAATAAAAGGAACATATGCTTATTTAAGAACAATCCTTGATAGTTTTTCACCAATACATTGATAACAATCCTCCTTTCAAAAGGAGCAGTACCTAAATAAGCCAGGATAGGATTTAGTCCCAGACTTCAATGGATACTATGAACACAAGGAAGAATATGAAAGAAAATACAGTTTTGAGCTACTTTCAAAATGCTATAAAATCATTGGTATTTCCTTTAATATTCACATGTATATATTCCAATAAATAAAGGACCCATTAAAAAGCAGCATAGCTGCTGTTTAATGGAACAACAGTACGTAGTATTTACAATACTGTAGATTACCAAGGTTGTAATGAATATATTCTATAAAACATGCTTAACAAGATAAATTTCAGCTATCATTTGAAGAACTTGTAGGTTATCTAAGGGTTTATATCCAACAGTTTCTACCAGGTTATATTCTGTGAGCTCTCAGATCAAAAATAATAACATACAAAAATTCAAGAAAATTTCAGTAGTTGTCAAGGGCAGCAGTGCTTCTTGAAGGAGCCTGGTTTTATGACAGAAGTATCTCCTATTTAGAGCACTTCTTTCTGCTAGTTCCATTGCCAAGAGTGCTGTTTCCTTTCACCTTTCCATTTATATCTTGAGGTGATTCCTTCTGTATGCCTCAAATTCCACTTTTTGGAGTTCTCATGAGCTTTCAATTGAGATGTAAATTTCTTCTTCTCTTGCCTAACCTTTACATGTATTTTTTTTTTTTTTAAAGGTTACTAATTTAACACTTAACACTTCTGATTACTTTCAGTCACTACACGGGTAAGATACTGAGTCTACCTCCATCTGTTTCCTTTTTGTATAATATAATGTTGAAGTTTCTTCTCAGTGTCCTTTGCTCTCCTTGTAGCACACAACTCAGAATTCCTTTAGAAAGATAAGCATCTTCCAGAACAACTTCTTGTCCTCTAGTTGCCTCCTTACAGCAGCAGAAAGTCTAGCAGCCTGGGAAATAACTGTGTCCTGCTCCAACATAAAAGCTGAGACAGAGATTCTCTGAAGGCAAGACTGTTTATGGGCAGCCTAGGACACTCTACCCCCTCAGAGAACAACTCTACTGTCTAACGTTTTCCAGATGCTGCTGCCCAGTTTCTCACAAGCCTTTTATTACTGCAGCGATCCTCCTTCCCCATCACCCTCAAGCAAACCCAATTAGCTCCCACAAGTCTTTCCCACTAGAGTTTCAGAAGGAATTAGTTTTTAATCAGAATGCAAGGTTTACTTCAAGGTAAACTTTACTTCTGCACTATAACCGCACTGTACAAGTGTTTTTCAGGTAAGTACAGGCATATAATTTCATTTATACGTTCCAACAGCTGTTCAGTGCTGGCAGAAAAAACAATCTGAAAAGGCAGGCAAAAAAAAATTGGCAATTAGCCTACAGGTCATGGCATGCTGCCACAGCCCTCCTGTTACTAGCTTGGCTGTTTTTCACAGTTTGAAGGTAGAGCATGTTTGCTTTACTGCCACACCTTTGCAGATAAAACCCTAGTCTCCTCTTTATCTTTTACACCTGCTTTCGTGTCTTTCAAGTTACAACCTTTTCTGTTTTCTTTAACCCTGAATAGCCTACATATATAATCTTGCTTTATTTTGCCCCTTCTTACCCTTTTATAACATTTTCTCTCTTAAACAATACCGGCACATGCTATAAGCAGGGTTATCTGCATGAAGAAAATGCTGTACAAAATAAGCTAATTATGTTTTGTTCAAAGTATAGATGTTACCTGTCTATGTAACAATATTGCCAAAACTGGGGGTAAGACAAGGGGGGCTCATATAGCCATAGGTTACAGTTGGACTTCCAAGCTCAAAACATCAAATAGTAGCTTACTAAGTACACTGACATGAAATTCAATCTTGTTTCAGATATACTAAAACAAAGACATGGGAAAATACCAAACTGAGCACAATTTATCACAATTAGTAAGACTGCATAAATCTTACCTTTCCTTGTAGTTAATAAAAATTTGATATAGGTTCTGATCATTTTTGTTAACAATGGAATCATTTATGTCCTGTGTCAAATTCCTGTGAATTTTCACTAAATCCTTAAAAAGAGGAGGGAGGGGGAAAGGTTTTTTAAAACAGAATGACCAAAAGCTTTGAATACAGAAATAATTTTATCATGTTAGATCCATTAATTTCAATAAATTGAAGAACACTTCATTTCTGATTAGAACCTAATTTCAAGGTTTGCCACGTGTTCTATGTAGTGCAACAAGAAAAACTAAACTCCTATTACCTATGAACTACCTATTAAAGACTAATATATTGTAGCTTGGAATGTGCACTGTTAATTCATCTTCATTTTATAATGATAATTTTAAAATTAAGCAAGTCAAGTAAATTCTTTAGTGAGAAGATAAAGTAATGATTCATGTCCCTGAGCTGCAAAAAAATTAGTTTTGTACATTGCATTGGATAATTAGTGATCTAGTCCAAAGTTAACTGTAATCGTAATGAGTTTCCAAATACAGCAGGCAACTAAGGGCTGAGAGAAAGGCAAGAGTATTGCAGAAAGATTTACTCCCTGAGTATAGTAACAACTCACCTTACTTGTTCACTGTTATGCAAAAATCTATAAGCAACTATAGGAGATGACATCAGTCCTCATACAGTAAGAAAAATGCCAGAGGGAGTTGAAATTAAGTCAAAACAGGTTAAAAAGCCCTGAAATCTGGTTAACTGATTTAAGTGGTGTCCAGACCACTGCAATGAAAAATAAGGGGCAGTTAAAAAAAAAATAATAAAAGCACCATTGAAGATGATTTAATGCTGTAATTTTTTTTGTTTAAAGCCATTAACACTGAGGAGGGCCACCAAGATGCCCAGAGGGCTAGAGCACCTTTTCCTACAGAGACAGGCTGAGACACTTGGGGTTGTTCAGCCTGGAGAAGTGAAGACTCTAGGAAGACTCTATAGTGGCCTTCCAGTACCTGAAGGGGCTACCAGAAAGATGAAGAGGGGCTTTTTAAAAGGGCACAAAGTGGTAGGACAAGAGGTAACTGTTTCAAACTGATAGCAGGGAGATATAGATTTGGTATTAAGAAGAAATTCTTTAGTGTGAGGGAGGTGAGACACTGAAAGAGGTTGCTCAGGGAAGCTGTGGATGCCTCCTCCCTGGCAGTGCTCAAGGCCAGGCTGGATGGGGCTCTGAGCGACCTGATCTAGTAGAAGGTGTCCCTGCCCACACAGGAGGGTTGGAACTAAGATGACCTTTCAAGGTCCCTTCCTATCCAAATCATTCTATGATCAACTCTATTCTATACTACAGAAATAATATGCAATTTTGAGTTGTGAACTACAGGAAAACATTTCATTTCAGGTTAATGAAAACAAAAGAGTACACAGAAGTTCAATCAACACATACAAGGTGAAGAAGCAAAATGTTCACTGTTATGCAAAAATCTATAAGCAACTATAGGAGATGACATCAGTCCTCATACAGTAAGAAAAATGCCAGAGGGAGTTGAAATTAAGTCAAAACAGGTTAAAAAGCCCTGAAATCTGGTTAACTGATTTAAGTGGTGTCCAGACCACTGCAATGAAAAATAAGGGGCAGTTAAAAAAAAAATAATAAAAGCACCATTGAAGATGATTTAATGCTGTAATTTTTTTTGTTTAAAGCCATTAACACTGAGGAGGGCCACCAAGATGCCCAGAGGGCTAGAGCACCTTTTCCTACAGAGACAGGCTGAGACACTTGGGGTTGTTCAGCCTGGAGAAGTGAAGACTCTAGGAAGACTCTATAGTGGCCTTCCAGTACCTGAAGGGGCTACCAGAAAGATGAAGAGGGGCTTTTTAAAAGGGCACAAAGTGGTAGGACAAGAGGTAACTGTTTCAAACTGATAGCAGGGAGATATAGATTTGGTATTAAGAAGAAATTCTTTAGTGTGAGGGAGGTGAGACACTGAAAGAGGTTGCTCAGGGAAGCTGTGGATGCCTCCTCCCTGGCAGTGCTCAAGGCCAGGCTGGATGGGGCTCTGAGCGACCTGATCTAGTAGAAGGTGTCCCTGCCCACACAGGAGGGTTGGAACTAAGATGACCTTTCAAGGTCCCTTCCTATCCAAATCATTCTATGATCAACTCTATTCTATACTACAGAAATAATATGCAATTTTGAGTTGTGAACTACAGGAAAACATTTCATTTCAGGTTAATGAAAACAAAAGAGTACACAGAAGTTCAATCAACACATACAAGGTGAAGAAGCAAAAACTTAAAATAGATCAAGTTCACTTGCTAGCAATTGTATGGTCATATCTTCAAAATCTTAAGTTGCAGCAGACCATAGAAACCATTTATTATAGAAATGCCTCCCAATTAACATATTACAGGAACACATTTTCTCAGGAGTGCACAGGGACTCACTCAATAAAGCAAAACCCCTGAAAAACAGCTTCACATTAAGGGCACAAAATGTCTTCTTAAGCTTCTATCTCCACTCAAGTTTTAAATTAAACCAATGTTAAAATCATTAGAAGTTAATGAAAGTTCAGATACTTCAGTATCTGTTACACATCATTCCATTGCTCTTTCTCTCTGTATATCCATATATACACCACCATTCAAATGCACAGCATAGTTGTCATACAAATGCATTTGTATGCACACATACATACACAAACCAATGTTAATACAAATGAATATATACACGTACATATGTATGCAAGACATACACATACACAGAAACACACACAAATATAGAGCCATACATAGATTTCATAGTTCTGTCCCATAAAATCTAAGTCTAAATGAAAGGCATTCTCTTTAAACTAGTAACTGGTTTGGTGTGGTCAGGTTTTTTTTCTTAAAAGTTTGTTTTGACATCAGCAGATTATTTTGTCCAGCAAGCAACTTTTAGTCTATATAAGGAATACAGCATCATCCTAAAGCACTGATCCTTCACCACAACCCTTTGACAGAGGCAAATCCATCCTGTTCTGATAACATCACACTGGCTCTCCTCATGGCAGTTTGCTGTAGAGCTGTCTGTAGCAGCTATTTTTATCTTAAATAAACATCCACTGCCCTCCAGCCTTCCTGCT